AGACAGACAGACAGACAGACAGACAGAGACAGTGACAGACAGACAAAGAGTAAGGTTAGTTTTGTGGCTTGTAGGCACAGGAGATTTAGCAGAGAGTTCTGGAGACCTGCACACAGGTTTTAGGTAACTTATCCCATCTCATATCCAGAGTACAGAGCTAGAAGCTATGGTAGCTTAAGTTCCCAAAGCTCCCCCAAGATTGTGGAAATTTTTTTGTCTTTCTGTGAGAAATTATCCCATTAAGAAAGCTAAATAGGATAACAGAAAACAAAACTTCTGGAACCACTCCTAGGAAGCACTATCCATGAGGAGGAGCCACGTGGCGCAGCCTCACCTGGCCCACGTATGGATAGGCGTCTTCAGAGTCGATGCCCCGATTTTCCTGCACGTACTGGAAGGCATTAGTCATGTAGCCTCCTCCACAGCCATTATTCTCAGACACACAATCCACCAGGTTCTGGGGACTCAAATTTAAGAGTTTGCCCGTTTTCTTCTTCAGTTGGCCCTCCAGGGCACCCACAGAACTGAAAGCCCAACAGGAACCACACTGACCCTGAGAGGCACACAGAGACAAGATCAGCCCTGTGCTTCTTCACTATTCTGCATCTTCCCTGTAGCTGCCTGATGACATTCTGTGTACACATCATACACCCAGGACAAATGTTGCCTTCTTACTCCCCTTCACTTAATATTCATTGTCTAATCCTACTGCTGTGGGTTACTGTAGTTACCACAAGCTGCAGTAAAGCAGAGAAAGCAGAGGCCAGGTTTTGGAGGGGGTTCGTTCACCTGTGTTCTAACAGACCTGGTACCCACTAGCTCTGTGTGTCACCTTAGTAAGTTATTATAGCATCCTGTGCTTCAGTTTTCCTATCTATAGACTATTGTGAAGATTAAAAATTAGAACTTATGATTACTCTGCCAGAGTGTATTTTTCTCTTTAACTATCTCTTAAAATAGGTTGTGTATTAGCCATCTTGAATTTCTATCACGTAGCTCTGTAGTACCTTGTAGATTCTAGGAAAGAAATAGTATTTGTTAAATGAATTCTAATTATTCTTTTTTTTTTCACTACTGAGGATTGAGCCCCAGGACACTCTACTGTTGAGCTAGGTCCCCACCCTGCCATACACACCTTTCGAATTGCTCATATTGAGATGGGGTCTCTTTAAATTGCCTAGGCTACTCTCTAACTTTGGATCCTCCTGCTTTAGTCTCCCAAATAGCTGGGATTATAGGCATGCACTCTCACACCCAGCTCAATTGTTCATTTTACTGATTAAAACCTTATTAAGATTATGGGAGCACATGCTTGTAATCCAGCACTTGGGAGGCTGAGGTAGAAGGATCACTGAGTTTAAGCCCAGCCAAACTTACAGAGTGAGTTTAAGGCCAACTTGAACAGTGAGAACCAGTCTCAACACACACACACACACACACACACACACACACACACACACACACACTCGTTACAGGAAAACTTGGCCTTTTGATATTGCAAGAATGCAAGATTGTAAAAACTTTTCTGAAAGTAGGACCAAACAATTTCAAATTTATTTTGATAAATATTTCTACAGTTCACACATACAAATATACACAAGCACTTATTGTAGCACTAGTTGTAATAAAGAAAATTCAGAAACAAATGTACAAAATGTACATTTAAATATATAAAATAATGAGTTCAGTATCAGAATGGGCTATATTCTCTTAGAAAGAGAAGACAAACCTTAATTTTATCATTTTTTTCCTACTACCCTGCTACTTCATGACCAAAACACTAGAAAAAGGAACAGGTTATGCCAGGTGAGCTATGCACACACATACCACAGTACCTGGTTTTTGACAGGTGTAACATAGCCCTTCTTTCGGTAGTCCACAGAATCGGGAGCCCTGCCTTCCCAGTCTGGGATATAGAGGGTGTCATTACTCTGGGAATGAAAGGGGGGTACTTTGAGCCCAGTCATCTTCTGAACCACTTCTTCACTTGTCTGAGACAAAGAAAAGAGAGAGCAGGCATTAGCAGGGAATTAAAACAAGCATGGCAGCCGGGTCAGGAACTCAGGCTCAACTCACCATGTCTCCCAGGTGGTTCATGCTCAGTTCATATGTATGGACACCAAGAGAGGCCTCAAGGTTATGGATGGAAATATACTTCAGGTTCTTTTCCCATATTAAGCGCCGAGAGATTTCATCCACCTAAACAGAGCACTGTCAGTATTTGTATAGACTGTGTGTAAGGTAGCTGGTACTATGGAAAAGATGCAGTTTGAAATTGTTGGATGTAGTCTAGTTGGGGAATCATGGATTGAATACACAAAAAGAAATAGGTAAGCATACAAATAATATAATGCAAAGCTCTGAAGACATTGATAGACAATTGCTCATTGATTAATAGCATTAATCTGAAAAGTTATCTTCCCAAGAAAAATTTAAGATTTTTTTCTTTTTTTGGTGTTGGTGATGCACTGAACCCAGGCCCTTGCACCTACTAAGCAAGAGCTGTATCATTGAGTTAGAGCCCTGGTCAAGACAATCACACAGCAAAATACAGATAAATCTTTATGATGAACTGATATACAGAAATGAAGTTAGGGAATGGGATCGTTTTCTCCATCGGACTAAAATACTGTACTTGGCTTGAGGTCTCTAGGAGCTGTGACTGGAGCTCTCAGATCCCAGCTCTCCCCCCAGCTCCCCTCCGTCCCCAGGCACCTTGCTGTTATACTGCTTCTGGTATGTCTTCTTCCACAGCTCCCACTGAGTGTCAAGCATCTCCTCAGGGTACAGAGCAAAGCTCATCACCGGTAGCAGCAGGACCTTGAGCCCCCACATCCTGGGGAATGGAATAATTAGGGAACACTCTTCTATTTGCTTGGGGATTCATAGCCTGGCTTAGAATAAGGAAGTAGTTGGAGCCATATTCCAATAGGTTGCTCTTAACCTTTGAGGCATTAGTTTCCTTTCAGATGCTAACACAAGTATAGTGCCTCTTAGGAGAAAAGTGCCTACACAGGGAAAAAATCCTTGGGGACTCATTAAGTCTAGAGATAAAAAGCCCTTTCTCAGAACCATGAGACAGAGGAAGATTTGGCTCAATGAGAAAGGTAGACAAGGAATTGAAGGTAATTTTCATGATGGAAACAATGATAAGAAGAGGATAAGTTTGCATGATACAGGCTTATCTGATTCCAAGAAGTCTGACACAGGGAAACCCAAAGCGTGTACACCCATATACACACACAGACCACCATTGATGGGGTGGAGACAACTAGGATGGGTTTTGAGCCTGTCTTTGGAGTTGGACAAAGTAGGTAAGATGGGAATGGGGTTGGAAGATACACGCAATTTCCGGCTTTGGCTTTTCCTACTTGCATAAACCGCCACTTTTCCAGATCTTGCCTGAAGGCGAGGAAAAAGTTGACAGTATTTCCTTATTTAACTAGACATTCAGAGTCTCCTCCCTCTCTTTGTACATTTCTCTCCCTTTCCCCTTAGGCAGGAAACTGGCTTAATTTTAACCAGATGCTGTGGGTAGGTTTCTTTTCTTTTTCCAACAATAAACATCTGTGGCTGCTTTCATATGTGAAATTTCTCAGAACCAAGGTTAGAAAATGTAGGATGGAAAAACAATGCTCTATAATGACTAAATTTACAGCTTTCTCACAGCAAAGCTTCAGTTATTTCATAGTGGCTTCACTGCCACTCAAGTCCTTCAGTTTAACAATCTGCAGTGTGCAGCCAGTCATAGGACCTACACAGCACAAAATCCATAGTCCACTTTTATGTAATCTTTGCAAACAGGCAAAATGTCCACGAATACATTTAATAGCTGGAATGTTAAGAGCTGGAATGTCTTACAGCACAAACATCAAGCTATCACCAACTGGTATCATTCTTAGCACTCCTCTTCCATAGTCAAGTTAACTCTTTTTGGTCCAAGCAGAAAATGAGAGCGGCTGTTTTTGCGGAATGAATAAAGGATTCTCTATCCCTTTGCTTCTACTAACAAGCACGTATGCATACAGTACATACACAAGGAATCCTAGATTTCCAGACAGGTTTTATTTGGCCAGGAAAACTAAGTGCATCTGTTTTCATCCATAGAGACTGTAAGTGTATTTTGATCCCCATCTCACTACATCCCTAATGCTCTTAAACAGAAAACTAGCAGGAAAGAGAAGCTAAAAGACCTAGGAAACTGAAAACGTTACCTGAAGTTGGGAATCTCGTCCGGGCTCCTTTCAGGCACAGTGTGGCTAATGCAGGCGGGAGTCCAGGGGTGCTAGATTTATTCCACCAGGATTGCGGAAGTCAGCCACAGCAGTTGGCTGGAAAATGTGGATAAGACAGGGAGGCGGGGACAGAAATGTTGAGAAGGGGGGTTGGGGTGGAAGGAGGCAGCACATTTGCAGTGCTCATGTCTGTGCAGTGTTGTGTGCCAGGATGGAGAGCTGCTAGGGATTGAGTTTCATATGACTGTCTGTGGAGGCAGACAGAAAGACAATACACATAACTCAAGGTGGGGTGGACTTTCTCCTTTAATGGGGAAATGGACACAGCCTTGGTCTTCCTCATCCTTCTTTTAAATCCTTTATTACAACAGACTACATCCTTTTGTTTTCCTCTTATGACCCACCTACTACTGAAACCTCAGTTTTCAAACGTGTCTGACCCACACATCTGAAATAACAATAAACACAAAAGGCTGGAAGCAAGTAACATAAGAGACAGGCTCCAAAATTGTATTTTATGAAGTGGTTGTCTGAAGTTGCTACTGCTTTTAGGCAGGGGAACAGCTTCCCTAGCTGAATGTGATTTTATAAAGGTTCTGCTGAGAAAATCCAGATGAAACTGGTTCTAAACATAGCCAAAAACAGTGCTGTTTTAGGACAGTCTGAAAGATTCACATGAAGACTACTGCTACCATACTCAGACGGTAAGATGTCTGAAGAGCATTATGTCTCAATTATTAAAACCCCCATTCTAGATCAGTCACATGAGCTTCTCCAAATGCTTCCCCAAACTCTACCCATGTGACAAATCATAAGAGTTTAGCTCAGCCACCCCACCCAACTCCATTTTATTCCATAAATAGATTTGGAGAAAGACAGTCATTAAAATTGAAAGGATAATACATGGAATCTAGATTCAGTTCCATGCTGGATTCCACAAATACCCTCAAGAATACAGACTTATGCCTCTGCACCTTAACAATTGTTAAGAACCACATACAGTATTCTAGAGGGAAATCGGGTCCAGACTTGTAGAGTTTAAACTTCTCAACCTTGCCAAACATGGTGGCGCACACCTGTAACCTCAGCACTTGGGAGGTTGAGGCAGGAAGATCCTTACAAGTTGGAGACCAGTCTAGGCTACAAAGTGCACTCAAGGCCAGCCTGAACTGCATAAAGAGACCCTGTTTCAAAAAGACAATAAAATAAAAATTCTCCATCCTGAGCCAGGCAGAGTGGCATGCACCTGTGATCCCAGAAGAGGCAGGGGGATCACCTTGAGTTTGAGGCCAGCCTGTGCTACAAACTAAGGCCATCTCAAAAAACAAAACAACAAAAATTCCCAATCCCCCATTTTTTAATCCAAAGGACAATATATCAGGGAGAGAGGAATCCACATGTGCCTAGTGATTTTAAATCCAAACTCTTCTGTCTCAAAACTGTGGGCAACCCCCACTCCCACAGAGTAGTCAGAATGTCCTTGCTGATTTTACTCAGAATGTGTCAGGGTCAGGAGGACAAGTGAGGAAGAGGGGAGCTGAGTGATCATGGCCCTATGATTTCTGATTCCTGAAAGACTCACAGTATGTTTGTATGTTTGGAGCTCACTCTATGAACCTTCAGTTATATGAGCTGAAAAGGAATAATAAAGTCGCAATCGAGATCACACAACACAAGAACTTTTACAAAAGGAAAAAATATTTTGTTTTAAAATCTTTGCTACATGTCATTATTTTTGCCACTGTATTAGCACAGACCCCAGCAATACAGAAATGACCAACAAGAAAAACAAAACAAATAAAACCCTGAAGGAAAAGCAGAAACAAACCCCCCAGAGTATCTTTTCCTTCCTGGGCCCTCCCCCCAAAACCCTATAATAACTGTACAATATTATAGTCTTGATCACATTTAAAAACGATTATTAAAAAAACAAGGATTCCATTGGAAACTCAACTTTTTGGTTTCATAAACTGTGATATAAATATATACGTATACTGTATGTGTGCACATAGAATAAAAAAATAAATTGTTTCCTTTGCATTCCACTCCCTGGCATCAGACTAGAGACAAGAGGAAGAAACTGGTTCAGTGACATCCTTGCCTCTCCAAGGCCGTCTGTGCTCCTCAACCTCCTGTAAAGACACTTAATGTCTTCCAGTTAACTCAGTCTTGCACTTACATGCTAACTGGAGCCACTTTTTTTTTTTTTTTTTAAAGGCTGGTACACATGACTTACCTGAGGAAGGTAAAGGGTGAGAACAGTAACCTGTATCCACATTTATATGGCTATAATTACCAAGTGACCCTGTTGGGGTGGGAGTCCAGGTCCCACAACACAGAGAATTATACTCGTGCTCTAAAGCAAAATCCAACCTCAACACTGGAGGGGAAACAAAGACAAAAGACCTCCAGGTCCAGGAAAGGCTGAGATCTAGGTGAAAGATTTTTAAGGATGGGATAAAAGAGGCTATGCTGTAAGAGGCCTGGTATTTGCTTTACACTCCAACAGTGAGGATTTTCACTGGAATTCCTACTCCAAGAAGTTGAGTTTCCACGCAGAAATAACCTCTATACAACACACACCATTTGTGATTCTGACAGAATCAATGCAGCATTGTTCTTATGGACAAGTCTAGGGTTATTAAAAGTGTTTATCTTGCCAGCCTATTTCAGTAACGTATGCCAATCCTTCTAAGCAAGGTGTGAGCACCAAAAGCAGGACTGATCCAGCTTTATCACTGAATGTGTTCGGTAAGAAACCAACCATTATCAGCAAGACTTTGCCATAGTTGCATGTTGGCTGGGCACAGGTAGAAGAGCAGCAAAGATATTTATTTAAATACTCTTTGGCTGCAATACTAAGTGGAAAATACCTGGAAGATTTAACTCTTTGCAGAGCACACAGAAAGACAAAGATAAAATCTGGGGCAGATTTTGCATAACTCCCAAGTAGGGAGAAAGACACACAGAAATACACACACATACACACACACACACACTCTCTCTCTCTCTCTCTCTCTCTCTCTCTCTCTCTCTCTCACGTTTCTTTCCAGAGGAATTGTTCACAAGTAACAGAAATAACCTATGCTTGCTTTCTAAAATCTCAATACCATGTTTCATGGTTCTCACCTGTGAGAGTATTTTCATTTTCATTCTCCTCCATTCTATTTAGAATTTCTTTCTAAAACAGGCCATAGTCTCCAAGGCAAATAGTGGGTGTAGGTTCCTCTAACCTGTCCCTCCACCCTACCACAAATATCACTGTGCAACTTCTGGTCAGGAGATGTAAGGAAAGGCATTCTACCTCACTTACCCCCTATTTTCAAAGAGTCCTAAAAGCCTTGAGAGTTCATCATTTCATTCTATCTATAAACGTTACCTCAGAGAGGCAAGGGTGGGAGCAAGGGAGGCCCAGCAGGAAAAGGGGTACTCATGTGGGGTGAGGGAAGGGAAGGGAGAGGAACTTTTATTCTGTTTACAAAAGATTTGCTTTTAAAAAACAAACAATAACTTTTCTCCCCCACTCCTATCCTCACCCCAATAGTTCTATTCTGAAAAGGAGGGAAACATAGTTAGATCAGGAAATTCTTCATTGTTGTAGCTGTTGCTCTGGTCTCCCAACATGGACAGCATCTCCTGGTGAAAGAAAAAGATTGTTTTGAGTCCCACATCTTCACGTTTAACAAGTTCTCTCCCAGCATTCTCTGCAACACTGTTCCTAACCCCAGAGTTGCTGCTGTGCTCAATTCTCCCAGCATTTCCTACTCTAGCAATTCTGACTCCTCAGATCACAGCCTTTTCCCCTAGTTCCTTCTACAGCTACCTAACTGATATTTTTATATACTGTCACAGATATATATGGAGTGCATCATCTTATTTGCCATCCAAATCTCTTTTGCCTTCTTTTAATCTGTAGTTTATACCCTCTTTTCCTTTATCTAAGATTACTACATTCAATCCTACAGTCCGTTTAGGACTTGCAAAAATAGACCTTTATAATTACCAGCTGTGTTCCAGTTCATATACTCATTTTTGGTACTAGGGATTGAACCCAAAGCCTTCACACTAAGCTACACTCCTAGCCTTTTTTTGTCTTGAGATTGGGGGGGGGGGGTGTCTTGATAACTTGTTCAGGCTCAGTTCAAAATTGCAATCCTTCTGCTGTGGTGTCCCAGAGTCCCAGAATTACAAGTCCTGGCTTCATAGATTTTTAAAAAAAATTTTCTTGCCCATTTTAAATTCAGAGCTACTATAAACTGAGGATATGGGATCTCTGAGAATGAAGTAAAATAACTTTCTTTGGCATCTTTTCACACTGTGTCACATCACTACCTTTGTCCAGTCTGGTAAAAGGGTGGGCTTCATACTAAATTCACATTTTATAAAATTACTGACATTTATGCCCACTTCTCCCATAAAGCTCTAACTAACAAATGCCTTAATCTAGGTGTGCTTCCTTCTCTCTCACTCCACTGATCCACTCTCTCCTAGTTTCTATTTTCTGAAGTCCTTACCCACTCACCTGGAAGACCTCAGGCTGGCTAGGTTGCTGTGCTGACGGCTGCTGAACATGCTGTTCACTAGAACTTGATCGATGATGAGGCTGCTGCCCCTGCCACTGTGGCCAGACACTCACTCCCTCTGCTGTCCGTGTCTGGAATTGTCCTGCAGTCTGTCCAGCTTCAGGAGCTAGAAACACAGCAAAGCACATTCTCAGTCTGTTACCAATACTGGAAAAGAAAAAGGAGTGCATAGCTACATATGAGCCACCTCTGCCACTTCTGTTTCAAAATCCAGTCCCAAATTAACTTTTCTTCTCTAGACAGTGTTTCTTTCCAAAGAGTTCTTTGTTCATTTAGACTGATAAATATCCTTTTTATACATTTTATAATAAAAAATTATAACTTATAACATTTTGTACATTTTCAATGTTTACAATATTTTGTGTCAAAGTAATTTTTCAAGTGGGTAGGTTTTAAATTTCAAACAGACTGTCACCTTGTTAGGTTAAGATTTCCCTGTTAGGTCACTGTACCCAGAACACAGGCAAAACATTTTAACTATAAAATCCTTTCTCTATAGTGGAATAGGACTCGGGATATAGTTCAGTGGCAGAGAACTGGCACAGTGTGTGCAGCCCTGGAATCAACTGTCAGAGTAACAAAAGAAAAGTTCTTTTTCTTCAGAGGTATAATTTTCTATGATTCTCCTGGCCTGAACTCACCGAAGTTGGATCCACGATTGGTGAGAGTAGGGTAGGCAGCAGCACCAGGGGACGCAGTGGGTGCACCAGGAAGAGACATAGGGCTGAAGGATGACGGAGTCTGGAAGCTGCCTACACCAAACTGGGAAGAACGAGTCTTAGCTGTAGCCTGCGTAGCAACCTGCTACAAAAATAAAGGATAAAGGGCAACAAATTGAACACTAACTTCACTGTGCAGACCATTTCTGAGAGTCAATGTTATCAGCCAGTGCGTTCTTCTGATTCAAGCTAGAGGCATTATTAATATACTGTACATCTTTTAATATTATTACTTGAAGTTCTGGAGATTGAACCCAGGACCTTTGACCATAGTAACACATTTAGCCTTTTTGTATTTTGAGAGAGTTTTGCTAAGCCATCCAAGCTGAGCTTAAACTTGCTATCCTACTGCCTCACCCACAGATTGCGCCACCATGCCTCCTTTTATTATGTGTTCTGATGACGCTTCCTGGTGGTCTAGGGTTAGGATTCAGTGCTCTCTCAATATGTTTTGCATTCCTTTGCTCCCAATGTCTATTTTATTTTATTTTTTATTTATTTTTTTTTGCGGAACCAGGGATTGAACTCAGGCCCTTGCACTTGCCAGGGAGTTGCTTAGTCCACTGAGCCATCTCCCCAGCCCCTATTATTTTTTAATAAATACCTTTTCTCACAGGATAGTTACGTCCTTGCATTGTGAAATATTTGGGAAAGGCAAAGCAAATAAAAATCATTCTCAATTCCATAACCAGAGACAGATTATTTTTGAATAACTAATTCAAGTTTTTATTTCCCTAATTGTTTTGTAAAAAATATGTGCTAAAAACCACTGTGTTCTCTTTCACAGTGGTCTGTTCTCACTCTGTAAAATGTACTTCTTTTAATTGGCCCATACTAGCTCTGCAGACCATGTTTCTTTTCTTAGTATCAAAAAATGTAAAGCCTTGCTACCTTTTAAAAAATGTGTTAAAAGTCTATAAAGAGAAACTACTCTTTAGCCTGCATATTCATTTTTCATAGTTCTGGAACACATATTGGTGTCAAACTTCTTTAATCCAAAGAAATACTCCAAAAATAGTTTGCACTCATACAAGCAGCCATTTTCACCTCTTCAAAGGTGTCATGGCTTGTGTAAACATCTATGAACACCACCTTCCTTGATTCTGCCACAGCAAACTTTTTTAATGTTTATGTATTTGGTACAGGGCCTCGCTACGTAGCTTGGACTCATAGATCCTCCTGTCTCAGCCTCCCTAGTGCTGAGGTTAGAGTCATGCACCACCACACCCAGTTTTGGTGGCCTGCACAGCACACCCAAGGTTCTGGGGCTGGCACAGCATGCAATACTGGGTATCGAACCTGTATCCTTGCCCTTACCAGGCAGGCGATTAAACTGCCAAGCTACCTCCTCAGCCCTGCCACAGCAAACTTACAGAGAGTGGCAACCCTCAGAGAAACAATAAATCCTTTAATCATATGAAATCATAGAAGTAGGCTTTACAGCAAAGAAACCACTGTCATAACTGTCCTCAAGTGCAATGTCCTCCCTAGCTGCCTCTCTGTACATGTTACACAACTGAGATCATAAAGCATATGACAATTTTAGAGCCCTTCTGTTGATTTTTTACTTAAAAAATATTACTTACAAATATATAGTAAAATAGTAAAAGGTATTTGCTTTTTTTGCACAATTACTATGTGCAATTACTATCTGGATACAAGGACTTCTTTTCCCCACTTATAAAGTGCTGCTTGGGATAAACTGTTAAGTGATTAATTTTCATCCTCCAACTTCTAATGTTTGGTTTTCTGAGAGTAGCTAGATAACTAAAACACTACCAATAATCGAAAAATCTCATTAGGGTCCATGTTACTACATGTAATTAGTAATTTTCTTTTGTTTCTATGCTATGCAGTGTTAATCGAAGAGTAAACTTCTTAGAATTTACTCCAAGGTAGATCTGAGAATCAAATCTCCAAATGTTCTAAATTCTAAATAAAGGTCATTATGTGAGAAACATGGACCCTAATGAGATTTTTCCATTATCAGTAGTGTTTCAGTTATCTAGCTACTGTCAGAAAACCAAACATTAGAAGTTGGAGGATGAAAATTAATCACTTAACAGTTTATCCCAGGCGGCACTCAGGCAGCATGTTAGCTTACATACTAACCATCCTTGGGCAGGTGTCATTTCAACTAATCAACTCCTATATTAAATAAATTTAATAAAGCTGTTGATTTTATGTTTCCTTTATAAGGGGTTAGGGAGATAGCTCAGCAGCATAAGCACCTGCCTGGAAAGTGCAAGGTCCTGAGTTCAATCCCCAGTACTGAAAAAAAAAAAAAAAAAAAAAAGATGAACATTCACCATATATTATCTTATAAAAATCTATGGAAAAACTGTAATTGTTGTCATTTTGCATTAAAATAACTGGGCTGGTAAGTGACTAAGAAGAAGTTATCTAAGAAAGACAATAATCATGCATATGGAAAGAAAGCCCAAACAAAAACTAATATGTAGGGATGAGACAGATAAGCTTTACCTGGGCAGAGAAGCCTGAGCGGGTACTGGGGGTCCAGGTTGGGGTTGCTCCCTGGGAAGGGTTCGAGTGGCGGGAAATCTGGGCCAACATCTGTCCTGTAGAAGATGATGGCTGGACAATGGTTACAGGAGGGGCCAGACCACTATTCCTAAGAGTGAACAAATGGTGAAGTAAAGGATTAAAGGGATGGGTTCATCACAGAATCCAGGAATCAAAGGACAATCATACTATTCCTAGGTCCCCTGGACTTCCTTGTATTTAAGGAAAACTTAGTAACAGAACTTGGAAAAAACAAGAGGGACTAACAGCCACACACTGACCAGAATACACAAGGATGGAACCTAGAACATCACAATAGGACAGGTACAAAGAAATGGAGGGAAAAAAAGCAGCTCCTCTGCTCACTCTACTCCTTTGCCTGAAATAACCAGAGAAAGCGAGGGAAGAATGAAAGTTGGATTTAGCAATGGAATCCCTCAAGGCCCTAAAAAGCAGCACACACATATGGGGCTCACCTGAAATTCTCGGCCGGCCGGGGGTTAGGAGGGAATGAGTTGCCCTGGGAGAATAGCTGTTGGGTGGCAGGGACAGTGCTGGAGGAGATGCCTTTACTCTGATCTGTGGACCAAAAGGAGTCGGGGGAGGGCCAGTCAAGGGGCTGTCGTATATAGTTCAGCAAGTTCCTACTTACTCATGAGGCATTCTATGATTAAGTGGAAATATGTTGGAAGATTACTGATTGGACAGTAACAGGCTCACACGTAAGAATTTAAGAATGAGCATTTTAAAACGGGTTGAAGAAACATACCTGCATTGATGTTAGAATAGATTTCTGAAAATCTTGAATCTCTTTCCTGGGCAAATAGAACATCTGATTTTTCAAGGCTCTTGCCATGTTCTGGCCCTGTAGATGCCACAGGCTGAACAGAAACCTATGGAATAAAATGGTGGAAATAATCATTAAAGGTTCAACAATAACTCTGGAAGTCACAGCAAATACACACACTGGCACTGGGAGGCATTTTTAAAAAAATTATTTTTATTGAGAAATAGCAATGAGACAGTTTCAAGACAGGTTAGTAGGACAGTTACAATAAAAAAATATGGAACGCTTCATGAATTTGTGTGTCATCCTTGCATAGGGGCCATGCTAATCTCTGTATTGTTCCAATTTTAGTATATGTGCTGCCGAAGCAAGCACACTAGGGGGAATTTTTAAAGGAAATGCTCACTGTCCTTTCCAAAGATGATACTCACCTGGGAATGATTGTAGCTGGGCAATCCATCTCTTCCTGATACCATGTCCAATTCTGTTTGCTGTTGCCTATATAATAATCAGTGGAGAAAAACGGGGGGGGGGGAGAATTTTAAGAATCAGTTGGACAAAAAAAAAGAATCAGTTGAAAGGGCCTCAAAAAACCAAAACAATCCTTAACTAAAACAGAATTGCAGATGGCCACCTCACAGCATGTGACTACTCAGCAGATGATTATTTCACCATTCCTTACCTGGGTGCCAGATGCCCCGAGCCCATCTCTAGGGGTAGATTAGCTGTGGGACCGAGCTGAGTCCTCTGGACTGTGTTAGACAGCGCAGGCCGTGGTTCTTGGCTAGAGTTCCTATGAAAATAAAGTAAGACAAGAACAGAGAAGGAAAAAACGGAATTTGACTCTGTACAGAAAGTTCTATATATTTGTATGTATTTGGGATAAACAATAATCTTTTGTAAAGTCTAATCCTACATATGCCCACTCCCCATGATGAATCTATTATATATTAACATATACTAATAAAAAATAAAGTGTAATTTCATAATTCAAATTATTGGGGCTGGTGAAATGGCTCAGTGGTCTAAAGCACCTACTTAGAATAAGCTTAGCAAAGCACAGGGACCACGGTTCAATCCCCCAGCACCACATGCCAGCCAGCCCCGCCCCCTGGTGGGCTGAGCTGGACACGGACACACACACACACACACACACACACACACACACACACATAAATTTAAAAACAAAACAAAACACAAATTATTGACAATATGGTATAAATAGAATCTATGTCCCAAGGCAGAAGGGTTCAAACTGTAGTTTGTAACTCCTAGATATTCAATGCCTAGTTATTACCAGTGTATGTTTACTATGATTTTTAAAACCATAAGTAAAAAGCCAAAAGTAAAGATACTGAAATGTTATCTGGACTATCTGAAGTATGACAATCTTTTGTTTTCTATACTTTTCAATATCCTCCAAATTAAAAAAAAAAAAATTAAGCCAGGTGTAATGGCACATGCCTTTAATCCCAGCTACTTTGGAGCCTGATAGGAGGATTAAAAATTCAAGGTCATGCCAGGCAGCTCAGCAAGACTCTGTCTCAAAAGAAAAAAGGGCTGAGGAATGTAGCTCAGCCCTTGCACCACCACCACCACCACCACCACCACCACCACCACCACCACCACCCACCCCCACACACACACATCACAATGGGAAATAATATATAAAAGAGAGAAAACAACTATTATCAGAATCATAAGTCCTTAAAAGGGCTTACATTTTTCAAAATTGGGAGCTAAGAAATGTGCCTCAGTGACAGGGTGCTTGCTTAAAATGTATGAGACCCTGCAACTAGGGAGATAGCTCAGCAGTTTAAGCAGCTACCTGGCAAGTGCAAAGACCTGAGTTCCATCCCTTGATACCCGGTACCACAAAGGCCAAAAATGGGCATGGTGGTATACACCTGTAATCCCAGCACTGGGGAGGATGAGACAGGAGGATCACTAGAGTCTGAGCTGCGTAGCGAGACCCTGTATCAAATAAATTAAAAAAAATTTTTTTTAAATGCATAAAACGGTTTCTAATCCCTACCACTAAAATAATAACAGTAATTCAAAATTTAAACAAAATGTTAACATAAAGTGATGACACTTGCTCATGATCCCAGATACTCAGGAGGATTTTAAGATTGAGACTAACTAAAGCAACACACTGAGACCCTATTCAAAATTAAATTAAATAGGCTGGGGATAGTTCAGTGGGTAGAGCATTTGCCTAGAATGTGTGAGGCCCTGGGTTTGCTCCAACTTCAGCACCACAAACAATAATGATTAAGACATATATTTGAGTCTTAAATTAATAAAAATTTCTAACTGTGTTTACTGGAGTTTACTAAGTTAGCAAAGAACTAACCTTTATGACCCCCTAGAGGTTGAATGGGATAATACTATTATCCCAGGCATCATGGATCATAATCTAACCTCTGCAAGATAGATTTCAAACCAGTTCTAAAGAAGTGGCTTAAATGGTATGAAGAGGAAACCTGACAACTGATAATCATGACAGTGGTGTCATGGCTTGTGTCTAGATGCCCCCTGTAGCCTCATGCAGTCATACATGGGGCTTTACAGAGGTGGCTGGATTTAGGGTGTGTGATGCTGGGGCTAAGGGTGGACCCAGCCTGGGTATGGGTCACATCACCCAAAAGGCAGATCACCTGGATCAAATATGAAGGCAGGTTTGATTGCTGCTGCTCACTGCTTCTCTACTGCTGCTTCTGCTGCTCTGTTACTTTGCTGCCTTCTGCCTGCTCTGCTCTGCATGGACTATTTCTATCTGCCCTGCCACCCTGCCACCCTGCCACCCTGCCACCCTGCCACCCTGCCACCCTGCCTTGGGGACAGCTGGATATGTACTAAAACATCTACAAACTGTGAAGCAAAAAACCCTTTATTCCTTTAACTTGTGGGTGTTGGGTATTTTGTCTCAGCAATGAGATAACTAAGACAGATATTGGCATCAGAGAAATGAGGCTGTTGCTGAGATTGTACCCGACTACATGGTAAATGCCTTTGGAACAGCTTTTTGGAAAGGTTTGGAGGTGCCAGCTGAAGAAGTAGCCTTAAAATTCAACACGCTGTACCTAATGAGAGACTGTGGTCAGAGCACAGAAGACCAAAATGCTCACAGAAATGCAGAGTAAAACCTTTGAAATTGTGAGTAAAAAAAAAAAAAAAAAAAAAAATCTTTCCTCCTTTTTCTCAGGTTGTTTGGTCACAACAACAGAAAGCTCACATACCATGTAGCCCGGCAATTACTGAGTATACACTAAGAGGAATAAAAGCAGATTGTCACACAAATAGTAGTACAGGAATGTTCATGGCAGCATTCAAAATGTGTTACAGGCACACGATGGCACACTATTTGGCAGAAAGAAGAAATCAAGGACTGATACATGATATGACATGAATGACCCTAAAGATATTACTCAGGTTATACTAATGTCACAAGGAACCACTTATTTTGTGATTGTACTTACATTAAGCATCTAGAAAAGGGCAATTTACAGAGGCAGAAAATTAAGAGGTTGTTAACAGGGCAACAAGGAAATGGGGAGAATGAAGAATGAGGTCAGTGGGCATCACATTTTTTTGTTATTCTTTTTGTTTTTTTGAGTCAGGGTCTTACTATGTATCCAAGGCTGACCTTGAATTTACAGTAATCTTACTGCCTCTGCCCCCGAGTGTTAGGATAACAAGCCAGTGCCACCACAGCTGGAAGTAAAGCACATTTCTTTATGTTTTATTTTTTGACGGAACCGGGGATTGAACTCAGGCCTTTGTGCTTGCCAGGTAAGCGCTTATTCTACTGAGCCATCTCCCCGGCCCCTAGCACATTTCTTTAGTGAGAATGAAAATGTAAAGTTAGATTGTAGCCAATAGTTAAACAATTGTGGGCTTGTTCACCTACGTAGAACAAGCTTAGCAAAGCACAGGGACTGCGGTTCAATCCCCCAGCACCACATGCCAGCCAGCCCCGCCCCCAGATGGGCTGAGGTGGCCACATACACACACAAAAATAAATAAATAAATTTAAAAAATAAATAAAACAATTGTGTGGCAAACTAAAAACACTGTACTCTTTTAGTGGGTGAACTGTATAGCGTGTGAAATCTTAATAAAACAATTTTTTTAAAGCTATAAAAGAAGGGCTGGGGATATAGCTCAGTGGCATAAGTACCTGCCTGGAAAGTGCAAGGTCCCAAGTTTGACTGTCAGTACAAAAAAAAAAAAAAAAAAAAATCTACTTAAAAGCTAAAAAAAGAAAGCTCAAAGAAAGAAACAAAAACAATAAGAGGATGAGATATAATTATGGTCTAAGGCAAATCATGGTCCATAGACCAAATCTATCTCACTCCCTGTTCTCATAAATAAAGGTTTATTGGAACAAAGCCATGTTAATTTAATTTCTCCATAAATATTTTCAAGCTATAACACAGGAGTTGAGTAGTGACAATATAGATTGGATGGCCCATAAAGTCTAAAACATTTACTACATGGTCCTTCATAGAAAGAGTTTTGTCCAACCCTGGCTCTAGATGAAAATTCTAACAAACTAAAGCAATAAAATTGTTTATAAATAAAATCATAACACTGAAATATAAATAAATCCTTTCATCTGAAGACATACTCTCTGGATTATCTTTTTCTACTTTGATGACTCTATCAAATCCTATAAGACAGAAAAGAAGGAACTTTAATGATGTTTAGTATTACAACAGAAGAAAAGGAGATAGCTTTATAAAGCTAAGCAGACGTAGCACATAAGAAATGCCAACCCTGGAAAAGGAATGGAGGGTACGTACTTCACATTGGTATTGGTACAGATGATGTACTCAATTTCATCTGAGTAAGGGTTCTGGAAGGTGAAGGAGCTGGTTCTCATCCAGAGCCATTCTCGATTCTTAGAACGAAACCGGAACATGACAGACAGCACCTGGCCTTTTAACTTCACCACCTGAAAAGGTTTTCACACTATCAGTGGAATTCAGGGGTAAAATGGCGCCTCCCCACTTAAATAAAAATTTTACCTTTCTATAACCCTAAGACTCTTGTGGTGGTTTCCCTGAAGCATCAGTCTTTTTCAATCTTAAAACAATATAAGCAAGCTGGGGATGTAGCTCAGTGGTGGAGCATTTGCCTAGAGTGCACAAAGCCCTGGGTTTGATCCCTACCAACCTCCACCCCCCAAAAAACACCAAAACACTAACACAGGAAAAACTAAATGACTAAATAAGGAGAAAATGTATTTATCACATTTCTTTCCAGAGTCCCATGTGATATGACCATTCTAGTCAAATAGGAATAACAATTATTTCCAGGAAAGAATGCTGCTTTCTCATTTTTGTTGAAAAGTCCATTAAAGAAGGGCTGAGCTTTACAAATCTAAACCAGAAATTTAAGTTCAATGACACTGAATATAGCTTATGTATTGCTTGTCCATCCTAGTATTTTACCATAAACCTGAGAATTTATTTTCATAGTACCCAGAGGTTTCTATGAATAATATTGGCTTTAGTCTTTTTTTTTTTTTTTTTTTTTGGCTTTAGTCTTATTTTGCTTCTGTTTTATAAAAGTAATCTTCCACACAAAAATAATTTTATATTATGTAAAATTGTTTTTCTAATGTCATGGAATAGAAAGTAGGGGCTGGGGAGATGGCTCAGTGGAATAAGCACTTCGCTGGCAAGCGCAAGGGCTTGAGTTCAATCCCTGGCTGAAAAAAAAAAAAAAAAAGAAAGAAAAAGAAAAGAAATAGGAAGTAATCTTTTACTATTTCTTTTTTTTTAAACATTTATTTATTTATTTATTTAGTGTGTGTGTGTGTGTGTGTGTGGCCAGCTCAGCCCACCAGGGGGCGGGGCTGGCTGGCATGTGGTGCTGGGGGATCGAACCGCAGTCCCTGTGCTTTGCCAAGCTTGTTCCAAGTAGGTGCTTTAGACCACTGAGCCATCTCACCAGCCCCACTATTTCTTAAAAGTAGCAAATAAATATACTACTATATGTTCAACAACTGGGGCTATGTGCCTTATTCATATTACCTTATTTAAATTTCCCAATAACTCTGAATTTTGCTGTTATTATACCTATTGCATCCCTAAGGACTCTACTTAGACTTCAGAAGTTAATTAACTTGTCTAACTTTATTAGTTAATTAGTTAGACAACTTATCTAATAAAGTTAGACAAGTTAATTAACTTATCGCTTATCTAAAGCCAACTCCATTAAATTTACCAAATATTTTTTAAACTGGCAATTATCCATAAAATAATTTTTTTATTTTATTTTAGTACAGGGTCCTCAGGGTCTCACTATGTAGATCAGACTCGTAGTGATCCACCTATATTCAGCCTTCCAAGAGCTGGGATTATAGGCATATGCCACCACGCCCAGTCTCAATGCTGTTTCAGTGTGCCCCAAGGGTGAGGCTGGCATGGCAGGCACAGGATCAAACCCTGGCCACTGTGTCTGCCTAAACAGGCATTTTAATCCACTGAGTTATTTGGCTGGCCCTCATAAAAGAATTTTTGGAAATAAATATTTCTCCTATACTCCACAGACCAGTAAATTCTGCAATAGTTTAAATAGTTTGAAAATAGTTCCTCAGATAGAACTAGTTGGGGTTGGTGAAATAGCTCAGCAGACTAAGCACCTGCTTAGATGAGCACAGGGACCGGGGTTTGATCCCTGGCACCACATACCACACTGGCCCTGGCCCTGGGTACCCTGGGCCAGCCACCAAGTCCCAGCATGTTGCCACATGCCTGTAATCCCAGCACTGGAGAGGCTGAAAACAGGAGGATCACTACAAGTCTGAGCTGTGTAGTGAGATCCTGAAAATACATAAATTAAAAAAAAAAAAAAGAACTAGTTGGATATAAGACAATAATCAGCTAAAGCCAAAGCCAAGGGAAATTCCTTAGACAAGCCAGGAATGGTGGTACACAACTGTAATCTCAGTACTTGGAAGGAGGATACAGGAGGACTACTGAGTTTGAGGCCAGCATGGGCTACATAGTGAGTTCAAGGCCAGATTAAACTTAGTGAGACCCTGTCTTAAAAATAAAAAAAATAAAAAAAATAAAATGAAATTTCTTGAACATCATCCATAATTTGTATTATCTAAGTACAAGAAATATTAAACAGCGGAAGTTAAAGCTCAGCAGCACAAGCACCTGCCTGGCAAACACAAGGTCCTGAGTTTGATTCCCGGTACTAAAAAAAAACCAACTCCATAAAACTGTAGTGCCTGTCAAGTACTCAGTTAATCAGTGGTTAACATAAGCATGGAGTAATGTGCTAAACAAAAAATGTGGCTTAAGATCCAAACCTGTTGAAAAAAAAAAAGGTACCTGTTGGAAGCTGTCTCTTAGAAGTTGCTGATCTTCAGGATGACAGAATTCTACAATATTCTTTCCCAAGAGTTCCTAGAAGGGACAAAAAAAAGAGTATGATACTATATGCACTTTTATGGTCATCCAACTTGCTCTGTTCATTACCTGGAAACTGGATTTATTTCTCTTGTATTAATCCTAAAATTATAAATAAGTGTGAAGGGAGAGAAAAAGGACAAAAAAGATGGAATCTGCTACATACACAACTGGCTTCTAGCACATTTCCCTTTTTTAGATTACCATATATCTATTTTAGTAGCACTTATTATAGATTTGAGGTACAATTTACATTTCTAATACATTCTTTTTTTTTGTTTTTTGGTTTTTTTTTCAGAACCAGGGATTGAACTCAGGCCCTTCTTATTCTACTGCGCTATCTCCCCAGCTCCTCTAATACATTCTTTTGAAGTGTATTAACTGATCATTCCTAGTAGTGTAAGTGTGACTACAATCTAGTTTTATAACACGGTCATTGGAAGAAAAAATTCCTTCATACAAAGCCCATGTGTATTCAATCCATGTTTGTTGTCCTCAGCCAAACACTGATTTGTTTTTTGCCTATTTTATTTATTTATTTTATGTATTTAGTACAGGGACTACAGGGTCTCACTACAGATTGGACTCGCAGTGATTCTCCTGTTTTCAGCTTCTCAAGTGCTGGGATTACAGGTGCGCACCACACACCCAGTCTCAATTGACATCTCAATGCATTCCGGGGTACAGGGCCGGCACACCAGGGATGGGAACTTGTGTCTGCCTAAGCAGGAGCTTTAATCCGCGGAGTTATTTGGCCAGCCCTTTTTGCCTATTTTAGTTTTGGCTTTGCTAGAAATTTCAAAAAGAATCATTAAATACATAGTATTTTGGTTCTGGTTTATTTCACTTAGCATAGTATTTGTGAAATTAATGTATTTTGTTGCATATATCAATACTTTATTCTTTTTATTCCTTTTTTATGAACATTTTGGGACTATTTTAAATGATATAACAGTTATACAGTTATGAACTGTATAAGTCTTTGTGTGAACATGTTTTCATTTTTCTTGGTAGATACCCAAAGGTAAAACCGCCACATGGTAGAATAAGTACATGTTTAACTTTTGAGGAAACTGCCAAAATGTTTTGGTAAAGAAGTTACACCATCTTATATGTTTACCAACTATTAAGGATCTAGTTTTTATCTCTTCTCAACATGTTTTGGCTATAGCCATTCTAGTGGCTATACAATAGTATTTCACTGTGATTTTAAACTGCACTTTCCCAATGACTAATGATGTTGAGCATCTTTCCATATGCCATTCATATTTTTTCTTCAGTGAAATAACAGATCTTATGCCCTTTTTACTAGCTGTTTGTCTTTGTAAGTTCTAAGAGTTGTTTATATAGAGATAGACATAGACATATTCTACATACAAATCCTTTTTCCAGATATATGACCTATAAATATCTTCTGTTTATGTCTGATTTTTTTCAGGGTTTTTTTTCGAGGGAGGACTGGTTGAGACATAATCTCACTATGTAGCTGACACTGGCTTAACTCACAATGATCATTCTGCCTCAGCCTCCTGAGTGCTGGGATTACAGGGATGTGCCATCATTCCTTGATTTTTTTTTTTTTAATAGTAAAATTTATTTTTAAAAAGTAAAAGAGAGGAGAAAGAAACTGGCTCTTCAGAGTGAGCTTGGGCCAAATAAAAGAGGAAAAAGCAAGATAAAAATATACCCTGGAGGACACAGTACAGGCTATCATGAGGGAAGCCAGGATAGCAAGTTACTTTCTTTTTTTTTTTTTTGCAAGTTACTTTCTTAATGACACCTTTTCATGAAGGCAAATTTTACTTTTTTTTTTTTTTTTTTTTTTTTTTTTTTTTTTTCAAAATTTTTTTTTTAAAGCCCCCTTTTCTTAAAGTTTTTTTTTTTTTTTTTTTTTTTTTTTTTTTTTTTTTTTTTTTTAAGAGGGATTGATGGAGAGTGTACTTGGATCTGAATACTAAGAAAGGCAACACATCTGCATTTTTTTAAAATTTTTATTTATTTATGTGTGTGTGTGTGTGTGTGTGTGTGTGTGTGTGTGTGTGGCCAGCTCAGCCCACCAGGAGGTGGGGCTGGCTGGCATGTGGCGCTGGGGGATTGAACCACAGTCCCTGTGCTTTGCTAAGCTTGTTCTAAGTAGGTGCTTTAGACCACTGAGCCATCTCACCAGCCCCGCAAATTTTACTTTGATGAAATCTAATTTATCAATACTTTTGTGAGTCATACTTTTAAGTATCATTTGAAAAATCTTTGCCTAAGACCACAAGATTTTCTCCTAGAAGTTTACTTGTAATTAATTTTTAAACATTTTGCCCTTTGAGGTGATTTCATGTAGTGTGAGGTAAGGTGTAAGGATTTTTTTTTTGCATATGGATATGAAATAGTTCCATTACCTGTTGGAAAGACTTCTGCAATAAGTTATCTTGGCACCTTGCTGAAAATCAATTGACTATATATGTAAAACCACACCGTATTCTAGTGTGATCAAAATATCTATTCTCATATTAACAGCATATTGTCTTGGTAGGTGTTCAATCAGGTAGAGTAAATCCTCCAACTTTGTCTCTCATTTGCAAGAGCACTCCCTTACCAATCATCTCACACCGTCAGAGCCTCAAGTGCCGCCATGGCAGTGACAGTTTTGAAAGTTTACATAATAAGTCAATTCAAGGATAGTTAATAGGTTAAGTGAATAAGTTATAACTGATGGCAAAATGGTGTATTTTATAGGTTATTATTCCTCTAGGTCATTGTATAGGTATAACCAACTAAAATAAGTACTTTAAAATGAAACAAAAATGAGCACATAACAGTAACAAAAATGATGGGTGGGAACTAAAAATAAAAAGTAACAAAAATGAATACACATTTGTGCCTTCTGATCTCAGTTTCACAAACCTTCTTTCTCTAGAGGTAACAGTCTTGTTAGAAAAATTTAGCTACTGATAGACTAAGACCATCTCTTTTTCTAAACTGGAACTGACATGCTTTCATTATCTTTGGAATAACACAATTGTGTAACCTCAGCACTGGTAAGGGAGAACAGAGGCCTACGTGTGGGTGATGTAATAGTTGCAGCTCCTCACCTGTGGCTGGTAGCCAACAGTGGCCACACAACGGTGATCCACAAAAGTGAATATCCCCTCAATGTTGTGGCGGGAGATGAACTCTGTCGGCTGACAAACATTACTCATGTCTGTACAGTTGGGAGAACTAGTTACCTAAGAGTGGAAAAATAAAAGCGAAGTAAAATAAAGCCATTTATTTGGACCGTTCTTAGGTATTGACACAGCATGAGATTCTGTTTCAAGAATTTCTAAACTTTCACATCTTATCCTAAAAGGGAAAAAATAGCAATCGCAATCAGATAAAGGCTAGCTTTACTCCCATTTGCGTGCCCTTTAAAAAGCTAGTAAACAAAAAAATGAATTGAACCCAAAGACCACTTACTTTTATCTGATTAGGCTATACTTTTTATTTACACAGGAAAATTATGATTTAAGTAATGAAGAAACTTATCTTGCTTAGGAGAAGAATCAAAATAATATGCTGCATGCCTGTAATCCTAGCAGCCCTCAAATACAGAAGGATGTTACATCCTCTAATGCTCAGCACAGGCCAAGATTACCAGTTGAAGCACAATCTGGGCAACTTTTTTTTGTGGTGGAACTAGGGATTGAACTCAGGCCCCTGTGCTTGCCAGGCAAGCACTTATTCTACTGAGTTATCTCCCCAGCTCCCCAGCTTGGGCAACTTAACAAGTTCTGTCTCAAGTTTTGGGGACTTTTTAAATATTTTTTTAAGGGCTGGGAATGTAGCTAGTGTGATGGCCTTGGATCCCCAGTACTGAACGGAAGAAATGGGAAGAATTAATTACAAATAGAAAATTCAGCATTATACAACTAAAATAAGGGAGGCTAGGTCTGGCCTATAGTCTCCACACTCAGGGGACTATGAAAGGATGATCACTGGAGCTCAGAAGTTCAAGATCAGCCTTGGTACCATAGTAGAACCCATTATCAACAACAAACATAAGGGAAAAAGATCCTTCTTTTCATATTCTTCAAGTTTTGCTAAACCAGAGAGAAGTAATGGTCACTATATTCCTCACAAGTTCAAAATTTTATGGAATTCTTCATTTGTGTTCAGATAGTAAAAGAAAATTAACATGAACAAGCGTTTTGTTTTTTTTTTTGTGTGTGTGTGTGTATGTGATACCAGAGACCTTATGCTTGCCAAGCAGGTGCTTAAGCCACTGGGCATTTCCCCAGCCCCAATGTGAACAAGTTCTAAAGGAAAGTTCTTCTAAATGAAGAGATGAAGATGTGGAAAATTCACACTTGCCTGCAATCTGCCAATGGCAACCAGGCAAAACTTGCTCCCCTGGCCAGCCTCTGGATCATCATCTGGGAGGGAAACACCTTTAGGAAGGTGAGATGAAAAGGAATAAGAGATCTCATGAAGGCCTTCAAAAGTTAGATGAGTTATGTATGATTCAAAATGCGTTTAGGTATGAAGAAGCTAGGGATATAATAAATGGTATTATACAGTATTTACCATATGTACCAATCATTGCTTTTGTTTTTGTTCTGCCAGACGTTAACTGTAAATAAGTATCTGTATAGGTAAATTAATATATTTAACCCATATAAACTATAATAAACTGGGGAATACAAGTCCTTCCCAAATAAATCTAAAAACTATTCTGGCCAAATCACACATAAAGGCAAACTTCCTATAACCATATCACAGGCAGACAGACGTCTTTACCAAATCTACGACTTTTAAAGTAAATGATCAATCAAAAAGAAAATTATACCAAGCACCAATAGTTATTTTTGACCCTCAGAAAAGACCAAAGCCAAGTTCTACATATGGAAAGGAAATAATATATTCTCTTCTATTCTTTGCATAGTTATCTTCTTTTTATCCAGAAAAATAGTATTTCCTTGATAGGTATATAGAAGCATAAAAGATCTCACACACACACACACACACACACACACGATAAAAAGTTCAAATGTCATTACCTACACTACTTTTAATTTTTCTTGATTTTATTAACTATCACTTATTGGTGCCTGTCATATGCCAGGCACTGAGACACTTTCCTTACATTAAATCTAATCCTCACAATAACTGGATACAGGATTTATTATCATCAAAGTAAAGAGAAAAAGTTTAAGCAACTTAACCTAGGCTGTATTGTAATTTTTTTTTGAAATGCCAGAAATCAAACATAAGCTTTTCCAAATAAAAGGTTAATCTCTTGCCAAAACATATATATTATCTAATCTCTTTTAGTTTTTGTCTCCCCCAAATCTCCACTTACCAATAATGCCCATCAAGCAGGGAAAAAATAAACGTGGTATGATTTAAAAGTTTTGACAAGTCTATTTAACTTTCCCCTCCTTCTTATTAGTGTATGTCTGTGATACATAAATACACTCATTGTGGGAAACTGGCACATACACATACTGTATCTTCATCTCTTTAATTCTTCCTTCCCCTCTTCTCCTTCCTTTCTCCTCCTATCCCTGAATCCCCTTTCCCACCTTCATAAAGTCTATCTTCCTGTTTCCTATAAGTTACTTTCTATTTTTTAAAAAGCTGATCCCAAAGTCCCAACCACTTCTCATATTCCTGTGTGACCTCAAGCTCAAGTAAGAGTGCTCTGCTTCCAACTTGAGTTAGAGCCTTTGTAGGAATATCTTTACAAATTATTACAATTAAGTCCTCTTCCCATTATCCCTTAACTGCCTTAAATGCTAATGTTTCTTTGTAATGACTGCTTAGAATAATAGGCATTCAGTATACATCATTATGAACTGTCACATTTAAAAACTACTCTCCCTGCCAAGCTGGCCCCAACCTGCCCCCGGAGTAAGATGAGACAGCGAATGAGACTGGGTGTGGTGGCGCACCTGTAATCCCAGCACTTGGGAGGCTGAAAAACAGAAAGGATCACTACAAGTCCGATTTGTGTAGTAAGACCCTGCAGACTCTTACTAAATACATAAAAAAAATTTTAAAAATTTACAAACTACTCTCTTAAGATTGGCATAATCTTAATACACATATGTGGTATCAGCTAAATGGGAAGCTGAGGTAGGAGAACTGCTTTGCCCAAGAGTTCAAGGTCAGATGGGACAAGGCAGTAAAGCCATTTCTTAAAAAATCATAAATTGTATCTCTTAAAAACTGTATTCTTTGCGCTGGGGAGATAACTCAGCAGTCTAAGTGTCTGCCTGGCAAGCACAAGGACCATGGGTACACTGTGCTAGCCCTAAACTAGGCATATTGGTGCATCCCTCTAACCCCAGTGCTAGAGAAGCTGAGACAGGAGAATCAGTATGAGTCCGAGCTGCACAGCAAGACACTGTATCAAATAAATAAATAAAAACTAATTCTCTAATATAATCAATACTGAGTCATTTTCAAGTTTGAGCAATCCATCTCCCCAACTGGAATATAAGATCAACAATGGATGTGAGGAAGTATTCTTTGTCTCACTTTCTTTCAACTCAAACCAAGTACATATTTCATAGATCAGGTACATAATAAATATTGTAACAACTACATGTTGGTAACTTTCTTAGACTCACTGAGGAGCTTTCCTACCTGCTGGAGGCCAGGCCTTGATGTAGCCTGTGCAGTGGACCACTACAAAGTGAGGTTCTCCATCCTTCACGGAACCAAGTCCATTCCTAGAAGAGTTACAATAGTCAGGGGGAAAAAAAAACACTATGAAGTAAGTGCTGCCTTTAACTTTCAGCTCTTCCTCTTGCTTTTTTTTTTTTTTGGTGGTACCAGGGATCAAACTTAGGATCTTGTGCTTGCCAGGCAAGCACTTATTCCACTAAGCTATCTCCCCAGCCCTTCTTTCAGCTCTTGAGTGTCTAGAAAACAAAATAGGCCAGGCATGGTGGCATACACCTGTAATCCTGTCACTCTTCAGGCTGAGGCAGGAGGGTTATTGTGAGTTCAAGGCCAGCCTGGGCTACACAGTGAGTTCAAAACTATCTGAACTACAGAGTAAGATCCAGTGTCAAAATACCAAGAAAAAATAAATAAAACCAAAGGGGGGAAAAGAAACCAAAGCTCCAACCCCAAAAGACTATCTGGTTTTCAGATCATCAACAAGTAACCACCATATTTTTAACCCTTGCCAAAGTAAAACAATCAATATGTACTGACTATAGCAAGAGTAAAATAAATAAGCAGGACAAACAAGGAAAACTTTAAATCTTAGGAAAATATTCCAGAAATAAAGTAACTATGAGATAAGGAATGAACATGAAGGCTGCTAAAGGGAAAGCTGCAGTAAGTTAGGTGACAAAGAGGTACTCACTCCCACCTCTTTGGTCTTTGCTGCTCACCTGCATCGATTTCTCACAAAGCTCAGCCTATTCATGGAGACTGGGTCCACAGAGCTATTCCCACATCTGTTTTAAAGAACAAGATTAAAAGTCAAGCTACATTATAAATGAACTTTTCTTAGTAACATCATGACAACAGGCTCTGAATACAATTAGGCACAGAAAACTCCTAACGATGTTCCTAATAAGAAAAAAGGACAAAGGTAAGTCAGGTCTGGTACTTCTAAAACTTAAAACTGTCTCACAGCCCACACAGCAGCACATACCAATAACCTCAGTACTTTGAGAGGCTGAGGCAGGTGGATCTCAAGTCCCTTATGAGCTCCTTCATGAAACTTATCTCAAATAAAAAGGGCTGGGAATACAGCTCAGTGTTAAAGCCCTGGATGTGGTGGTAGTGGGGAGGGGCTGTCTCATATGTTCTCAAAATGCAGAGATCTACAGCAAAAGTTGGTATTTTCTATAAAGGATCAGACAATAAATATTTTCAGCTTTGTGAACATACAATCCATTGCAACTAATCAGCTCTGGCATAATGGTGTTAAAGTAGTCACAGGAAATATATAAAGGAATGGGAAGGCTATATTCCAATAATTTTTTTTTTTTCTTGGTGGAACCGGGGATTACACTCAGGCCTTATTCTATTGAGCTATCTTCCCCATCCCCAATAAAATTTATTTACACAGAAATATATGCTTTGTTGCCTCCTGTTCTATAGGAACTCTGATCTATCTGCTGTATTTTTTATTTTATTATTTTATTTTTTTCTGTATTTTAGGGAAGGGTCTACAGAGTATTCAGGGTCTCACTACTAGATTGGACTTGTGGTGATTCTCCTGTTTACAGCCTTCCAAGTGCTGGGATTACAGGTGTATGCTACCACGCCCAGTCTCAACTGCCATCTCAGTGTGCCCTGGGGGCGGGGCCAGCACGGCAGGCCCAGGCATTGAACCCAGAGACCCTGTGCCTACTTACTGGTGCTTTAAGTACTGAGCTATTTGGCCAGCCCTTCTGCCATATTTCATTATTATTAACCTTTCTCCTGCCTACCTCTTTACATTAGCCATAACCATATATATTGGGATATTCTCTCCGATCTTATCCCTCTATCATTTTTTTTTAAAACAATAAGTTTAGGGCTGGAGAGATGGCTCAGTGGTCTAAAGCACCTACTTGAAACAAGCTTGGCAAAGCACAGGGACCGCGGTTCGATCCCCAGCACCACATGCCAGCCAGACCCGCCCCCTGGTGGGCTGAGCTGGCCACACACACGCACAATAAATAAATGTAATAAATAAAAATAAAAAAATATTTAAAAAAAAATAAAATAAAACAATAAGTTTATTTAAACAACAAGACACTTGACTTAAAGGGAAAATTATCTAGGATTCTTGTTTTATAAAGAGTAATTTACTCCTACTTAAAGACTGATTGCCCTAAATGTAACAGCTATGTACAAAAAAGTTACAAAATTGTTCTTCGTTTTACAATGATAAATGAAAAACATTAAAATTCTCCAATCAAACAGAGTATGCAAGGAATTTTATGTTGCTGTCTTTTCTGTTAAAACAGTAAGAGCAAAAAAACTTACTGGAATATAAAGATAAGAGCTGATGAGCATGCCACTAATGGAGAAAGGAGATTATTTTCACAGAACCAGTAATTCCCCATCTCATCTCTGTTTGATGTCAATCAAAACATACTGTTGGCCATTTAGTAAAAAAAAAAAAAAGCAATAAGCTTGTGCACATACACCAGATACTTTATGTACAATAAAGGAATGGGGAAGAGGTAAATGAAAGAATAGAGAAAACTATACTAAAGTAGTCAGGATGTGGTGGAACCAAATTGCAGTTTTCTAATTGAGAATGTATTCTTGGTCTGTAAGAACAGAGTTCTGGAGTAGTTGCAGGTTCCCTTTTTAGTAGACACCGCCTGTCTGCTGCTGGAACATATCAATTGTATCTTCATCCTCCATTTCCAACTGTGCAGGTGTCTGTTTCATTGATTGGCTGTCCATCAAATCGGAATCCAATCTGCCTCACTGACAAACCCTGTCGTTCACAATAGGCTTTCATTAGTTTACTAAGTGGTGTATGCCTCTTAATCTGAAACTGCACCACAGAACCATCCTGCCCTGCCACCTTCAAATTAATGTGATTGTTGTTGTCTTGACTCCTTCTTGGGCTTTTCATCATCCATAGCGAACGCCCAAGTCTTCTTAGCTGCCGCTTCACAAGAGGTACCAGGTCCGCACACACCAGTGGCAGCACTTCTCTGACCAAGAGGGATGAGCCTCTAACCACCAGGTTCCTTTCTTTGTGTAGAGTTTTCAGGTTCTTTTTATTCTCCACTAGTTCACTTCGTTTTTCTCTTTCCTTGAAACTGACATCTGTGTAAGGGCACTCTTGCTGCTCTTCTCAGAAGGTGGCCTTGGGAGCTTCTGGCAGCTGGCCAGGAATGGAAAGTCCCAGCAGGAGCCAGGATATAGCCAGGGAAGAAGGGGCCGCAGCTCGGGTGCAGAGGCAGGAGGCAGAATACTGTTAGCTCATCAGATAGATGCTCTGTGGAGAAACCTGTACGAGTTCATGTTCTCTAAAACCGAAGAATGAATTTTAGGAACAAATGGAGGTTATGAGCAGAATATATTTATTAGGGGAAAGAAAGCTCCTGTCCAAGAGAGGAACAGGAGGGGGGCCCGAGCGGGTTGTTTCCACTGCTCTCATTTCTTTAAAGTAAAACCAATAAAACTTGCATAGATTTTAGTATGTGCCATGTTATGAGTATCTTTGCATATGTTAATTGATCTAAGCATCATAGCTTCATGAAGTCAGTATTAATGTCATGTCCAATATTAGAAGATGAAATCAAAGCATAAAAAAATTCATGTACCCTGTCCAAGATTTCAGAAGGTAATGCCAAAGCTGGATTTTGAATCCACAGCATAGTATGGATTCAAAGAAAATCCAGCAGTCTCAGTCCAGGGACTACTCTAAACCATTAATGCAATTTTTCTAGCTTTTCCAGGAAACCTTTCTTCTTCCTTCTTCCTCCTTCCTCCTTCCTCCTTCCTCCTTCCTCCTTTCTCCTTCCTCCTTCCTCCTTCTTCTTCTTCTTCTTCTTCTTCTTCTT